CGAAAATAAAGGAAACCTTAGATACATCAACATGAATATCAAACGCTGATCAATATCCATTCTGTGAAAACAGCGCAAAGGCATCCGCATTATGGAGATCAAAACGTATTACAATGTCAGTCATCTTTATGAAATGTTCTTTACAAAAGAGAACTGAAGGATCCTCTCGCTAATACTGTATCATGATAAAATGTAAATACACACGCACACACACACACACACACACACACACACACACACAGAAAGCGTAAACTGTACATATCATAAGAACAATTTCACACAAACCCATCGTCATGGGAATAGCCTATAAAACAATGCAGGAAAAAAGTAAATTTACGTGATCATTTTCAAACAGCTCAGAGATGTGATATGAATGAGAGGTAGAGGGGATGAGAAGGAGAAAAAGAAAGAGACAGAATATAAGAGGTGGGGGAAGAAAGAGGGAGCTGGGGAGACAGGCTTAGAAGACTTTAGATATAATATTATATAAAATGGTGTCTTTTGATATGGTGCTAGGAAAGGGGGGAGGGGGTCAACGGAGAACTTGAAATCAATTAAGAACACAGAAAGGAAGTAAACAGAGGTAAATTTGGTAGACTTTTCAACACGTCACCAGAAGGTGACTAAACAGTCGAATCTCAAAATATTATTTTGGATAAATATTCCAAGAACCGAATAACTACTGCATCTCGTCTAATGTGAACAGCATTTTGGCATGTCGTCGAAAGTTTTAAAAGAATATGCACTTTTATATATCTCTTAATTCACATGTTTCACGTCAAGGCGGTACGACCGTTTAGACACCTTCCCAATATTCTATCTAAATTTTGCATGAGTTTGCCAGTTGCCCCTGTCATCCTTGGAGAAGCAAGGTGACAAATAGACCCCAAAACAAAGGTGAATTCAAGGCCTCTTACAAGCGCTCACAAATATACAAAGCAAAAAAGGTGAAATAAACAGGATCGTTCACCTCATTCCACAATGAAAGGTCACTTTTACAAAGGTCGCTGCGTTTTCCAGGGCGAATAAACATAGTGTGAGAACTGAGTGTCGGTTTTACGCTAAGTTACTACTCACAGCATGTCCGTGCAGCCTATAACTATGTAAGTTACCGAGGAGCCCACCAAAAAATCCGTCGATATCAAGCATGATAATGGAACAAATTAATAAATGGTCTAGAATTTTGTTCATTTTCACTATTACCAAATACTACGATTTGCATCACACGTACTGGTGGCAGAGATCTCTAAAAACATTACAATTTGATGATGTAATATGAGTTAACACGTCTTTAAATGCCTGGTGCTGCAGAAAAAAATATGGTCACTTTACTGTGTAGAGTATGGGCGTAAAATGTGGTGACAGCGAAACAATTTAAAAAATACACACCCAAACACGTTCAAAATACAGCAAGACAACAGTTTGACCAAGCATTATTAATTAACAGACTGATATTGTTGTCTGAAAATAAATGATTATGCGCTTCACGTTGCATATAAAATGTGTGTTTTGGAGTTTAACTTCAGAAATATTTTCTGTTGAGAATAAAATGGCTTTTAGAAGAGATATGCATGTACATAGTGTTACATGAAGCTGACACTCATGCAGAAGAGATATGCATGTACATAGTGTTACATGAAGCTGACACTCATGTAAGGCTGACCCACCTAACTTTAATATTAAATGATAAAAAATTGAATTATTTACTATATCAGTCTGTTAAATTGAAATATGTCTGGGTTAATCTGGGTTAATCTGTTGAAAACAGCTCTTTTTTACATAATTTTTCTGAATTTTTTTTGTAGTGACTGGACACGAGCGTATTTCCCAAACCTGTATTTTTGCAGTTTGTCCTATCTTGTTTTTCATGAGGCATTCAGCAGCCCTGAAAATTAAGTTAATTTTTGTTCTGAATTTGGCACACTGACTGGTCATTCAAGTATTCTTCAAATATATGTTTTGCGTTTTGTTCAATGGGTTTTCATGAAGCATTCTGGGTGGTTGCACCCTTGTAACGGTTGGTTGGAGGATGCTGCTAACTGGTCCTACTTCTTTAATTTCTCACTGTTGTTTAAGTCTGGCTGTCTTGCGTTTTCCTAGCACTAATCTGCCATTATAGCGTCCACTTACTTCTCTTAAATCAGGCAAACAGACAAACACAGCAACTTTGTAACAGAAATATCCCTCCCCCCCCCCTAGCAATACTCTGCCTCACTGCTGCTGTCCACTGGAGGAACAAGGCCTGCCCTGAGCGTGACTTGCACGTCTCTGTTGATGCTGACGGCCGGGTAGAAGACGCCGTGCAGGTTGTTGAAGGCGACTGGGCCGTGCGGGATGTCGTTCACGAAGTAGCTCAGGGTGTGCTGGTTCAGGTCTAGCAACACCCCTATGGTGCCCCCGGTTCGAATCCCTCCCTCGGTTCTGTTGGTGTGCTCGTCTCTGTGCATAAACCAGCTCCGCTTCTCGTCGATGTACATGCTCCAGGCACGGTCGTCTTTGCCTGCCGGAGAGAAGGAAGATTGGAATCAGAGGAGTTTGAAGAACAAAAGAAAGCAGTGAGACAAAGTTGGACTACATTCAAAAATCAGTATTAAAAATCAGTTTTAATAATAATAATTATTATTATTATTATTGTTATTATTATTATTATAACAACAATAATAATAATAATAATGTAGATCATTTCTATAGCGTCCACTCCCGTGTGAACACAGCTCTAGGCGCTTTACATAAATGAATGTACGAACAATATTTACTCACACACACTTACACACACACACACACACACACACACACACACACACACACACACACACACACACACACACACACACACATCTACTTGCTTATCACACGCGCACGCTTACGTATCGTTATGAAATGAGCACATCAAATACATAATAAAATAATATTATACACAATGCAATTCGCAAAATGAACAAACGGATACATGGTCATTAATTTACATAACATTGTACTGAACATGAATCTACTGATCTAAAAATATATGATGTAATTAAATAGTCTTTAAAGATATTTAAAATTTAGATTCAGATGTTGTACGTCTCAAGAGTTGGGGAAGAGAGTTCCAAACTGATGGAGCAAGGTGGGCAAACGATCTTTCTGCAAATTTTTTACCTCCTTTTCTAGGAACTCTTAAAAAATACTGATCGCCTGATCTTAGTGATCTAGATGGGACATAAATGCTATTTTACGCTATATATCCACAGACTTATTATTTTCATTTATTCATTTCTTATTCTTTTTTCCTTTTTCTTTTTTTTTTGGGGGGGGGGGTAATAATCGATAAATAACATTAGTTTGATGAACGCCAACAGCTATCCAAAATAAAGCCCCTTTATGCAAAGAAACGGTTTTACCTCCTTGTTTCTGGGGATTTTTTTCTATTTCAGCAACATTCATATAAAGGTCCACTGAGGGTCTTTTAAAACTCCATCCCCCCCCCCCAAAAAAAAAAAGAAAGAAAGAAAGAAAGAACGATAGAAAATAGCAACAACCTTTTGAAAACCAAAAGCACAGCAAAACAAAATTTAGTAATAACAACCTTAGTCAGTAACCCATGATTGATAATCACTACAGAGCCATGCTCCGATGTGTTTTATATAATTTGATAATGTGTCGTGCTTAATTAATGGCACGTCTCACTGAACACCGGCCCATTTAAGAGTCGACGCAGAATGGACATTCTTTGTGAACTTTCGTTAATTTAACACAAGACTATGGAGGCTCATTCAAGATGAAAATACCACGAATTTGTTGACCATGCTGATTTTATTCGTTGTAATTGTTTCACTTCCCCAGCTGTACAATTTGGACGATTTAAGCGACGTGCTTCATCTGCTATGCAGTCATGGTAGCACAAATATCAGAAAAAAGAGAGTTTTCTCATAGAATATGATTGTTTTTGATTTGGAGCTGTCTTTTGTGAAAAGCCTAACTGTTAGAGGCAAACACCATTGAACTTGTTATAATCCTTTACCGAGCAATATTATTGTTAGAACTAAAATATGAGAAATTAGAACGTCATTCGGTCATAATCAAAAGATAGTCCATCAGAATATTATTAATTCGACTAAATATGTTTAAAAAATCGTCATTTCAAGGTCAGCCTGGTGGATCTGTATTTTACATGTCTCTTGAGAACACAGAATAGACAGGCTGGGGTTAATACTGGCTCATTTGGTTGATAATGGGTAAAGGGAATTAAAAACTATATTGTTGTTTGTGTTCGAAAAGAAGAAGTATATGAAAAAACTCAGATCTCAAGCAGGCACTTATTGGGCCATTATTCAGGATTCGAAAACACATGTCTAAGTACAAAAACCTCATGAGTCCTCGAAATCGCTTTTCAAATTAGAATTCAAACTACACCGTGCATTTTTATCGTGTTCTTAGGGGCTCTTGTTCCCCCTAATCATTATCTTCCCTTCAGGGGGCAAAATGGTCATTGATATTGTGTCTAACAAAAGGCCAAAAACCACATAAGGACCCTTTCCTGAGAGGGATAGGCAATCTTGAATTGTAAACTCAACTAAGAGAAAACCGAATTTGAACTTCTTGAACCCTTGACCCTGTTTAAGTGTCCTTCAAATCCTACGCTCCCTTCAAGAGTCTCTTTGTAAGCGTATATTTTGTTCGATTATTCAGATGAGGAATTCAGGGTTGGTTCACATTTTGATCAAGGCTGGTTTGTTGGGCCTAAACAATGAGACAAAACTCAATGGGGATTGCAAGCTGTGGAAATGAAAGAGAATAAGTGGACTTGAAATTGTCTGACTGTGTGAGTGATCGAGCCTAATGCGACTCTTGAAAGAAACAGGGAGGAGTGAGGGGGGATAGAAGTGTGTGAGTTTGTTTGTGTGTGGGGGGGGGGGGGGGGGCAGAAGGAAGGATTTTAAGAGTAGGGAGAGGGGGAATACAACGTTTATGGGAAGAAAAGCGAGGGTGGGGGAGGAGATGGGGGGTAATAGGGGGTAGGTGACTCGTTATGATACAGGCAAGTAAAGGGAAACGACTAGGGGCTATCTTTTAAAAAATTCTAGTTGGATAAATACAGTGCTTGAAACTCATCCTATTCCCAAGGGCAGTTAGATGCAGAACTGAAACTAATTACTTGTTTTATTTTTTCAAGCATCAGACACGCACTACCACGGACGCTCCCTACGAGGTTATTCCTCGGTCAAACAAACATGCGACATGACTCGAAGAAGTAAAAGTAAAAGAATAAAGCGAAAAAAAAAGACCCTTCGACGTAGCGGTCAGTCCTAACTGAAAAAAAATCGATAACACTGATGAGTGAGCCCCATATTCTGGACATCACCGCGTCGACCACGGACAAAAAAATTGCCTCGAGCGCGAAACAGCAAACGAAACGAAACGAAACGAAACTGTAAAGAATCCAATTTTATTTAATGAGCCCGATACTTGGACCAAATGACATTCAATTGAAACGGTTCATTGCAGCGAGAAAAAAGTTTCCTTCGGCTTTAAAAAAAAAAAGATGAAAAGGTATAGCTTTAACGCTCCTTTCAACACTGATAAGTTATTTAAGAGGCGGGATCTCCATGTTTTAACGCCCATCTTGTAAAGAACCGAACCAAGGGGGAACTTTGTGTTAAGTGCCTTTCCCAAGGACACAACGCCGGACCGAGCTGAGGCTCAATCCCCCAAATCGAATTCTCACGATTACGAGTCCGGTAGCCTAAACACTAGACTACCGATGCCACTTTCGACTTTGAGGCGTCCACGTACTGTTTCATATTAATGGATTTCCGAAGAAAGATTTTAATGTCGGCCACAGTTTCGTACCAACGACATTTGCATCGGTGCCGTTTCGTTACCAATGATCTCCAGTCCAAGGCAAGTCTGAGGCTGCTTCTAAGGTCTTTCGCAAAGCCAAGGTCAGGGTGAGGTAGCCCGAACAAGGGGAAAAGGGAATAACTGATTTTTCAAGGTTTGATTCAAGAAAATTAATCATTGTTGTATAACATGACATTGCTCTTTCTTCCTTATAACTAACATTACGTATTCACAGATCTAAGAAAGTAGGCCTACAGCTAGCTGCAAACCCTTTCTATTGCAAAATTTCTATTTTCTCATGCTGTGACTAAATATCAAAGACCAAACGCGAAATTTATACATTCAACATATCTATTAATTTCATATTAATCAAGTAGTTTTTACACCTACTCGTATACTATAAGAAAATGTTTTAGATTCACTGAAGGATTTATATGGCAAAATTACTTAATAGTTTATCAGTGCGTGGTGTTTCAAGAACACATTTAGCACATGTACTGAATAATGTTCTTGTACATTAAGGTTGTTTGTTTTGTTTGTTTGTTTTTTTTTTGGGGGGGGGGGTTGTGTTGCTGTTGTCATTTTTTTTCCTCTCTTGTTTTGATCTGTTCAAATTTTGCCTGACGTTATTATTTGACTTTAAAAAGTCTGTCATTTATTTTCTCTTTGAATCTTTTTTTTATCTGCACTTTGAGTTGTGTTCCTTTTTCTACATGGTCTTATCCCTAACACACTACGGGTTTTCTTATAGTTTACTCTGTTCTTATTTACTTTAATTACTCTGCATACTTTCATACTCTCTTTCTCTCTCTCCCCATCTCTCTCTTTGTTTCTCTCTCTCTCTCTCTCTCTCTCTCTCTCTCTCTCTCTCTCTCTCTCTCTCTCTCTCTCTCTTTCGTCTACTTAATTGTGCTCTTCATATATCTCTCTCTATTTCTCTTTCATTCTTTCTCTCTCTCAGTCTCCCTCTCTCTCGCTCACTTTCGTTACTCTCTTGTCCTTGTCCATGTGCACCCAAATTCACCCCTCCCACCCCACTCCTTTCCACTCACCAATCATTCCTCGGCCTCTAACATGCTCCCAAGCCTCACCCTCACATGCACAGCGCCTCCCATTGTTCTGTCCAAAGTGAAATTATCGTCCCCCCATGCAAACAAAGCAAACCACGGTCAGGATAAACAACGCCCAACAATATTAGCAGCCTCCCAGAAACAATAGCTCCATTCCAGACCAACTCTACGGTCAACAAGATGGGCGATGCAGACAGCGGCGCTGGATTCAGGAGTTATTGCTCGCCTCCCTCGCAAATCCGTTAATTTCTATTCCAGTGGCCACTTCCATCTGCCTCTGAGATTCTGCTGTAAATGGACTGTGTATACTTAGTGTCCCTTTAGTATCGTTACTCCGTCGTGGTTAAAACAGAGCCCTTCTGTTCTGCTATTGCCAATCTGCCTGTCAAGAGAACGATCTCTTCCTTGACCACTAGTGGTTGGAGTGGAGGTTTCTCTAAGAGTTAGCGGTTTTTGTTCTTTTATGTTCTTACTTTTTCTGTTCTTTCTACCTTGAATTTGTTATGCTCAAAGTGACTCGTTCATTTCAGTGATGTATACATTTAATTCAAGCTACATTTCAGCATAAAAAATATTAAAAACCAGCATTTCGAGTTATAATGTGTAACAT